ACTATTACTTCTCTTGATCTAGACGCTATACTTCTACTGATGCAGCCTTCAGAATCATTGTTTTATTGTAGGGTATGTTTTATTTAAATTTATTTTACTTTATATAAGCCGCCTTGATGATTATGGAAGAAAGGCAGGATACAAGAATAAAGTTATTATTATTATTATTATTATTATTATTATTATTATTATTAATCAGGACATTTAAACACATTTGAGACAATGGGATGGAAGAGGATTAACTAGAGCCATTCTCATCAAACTGGGACAGCTGGGGGGCATGAATCTCTCCTCATTGGCAATGTGATCTGGGGGTGAGGGAAGTTATATAACAAAACACCAATGACTCCAGGTTGGGAAAGACTACTTTAGCCACTGTGGCTCACATCCTAGTCCAGCATTGACTCCTGGCTCAAAGGCTGCCTGTTGGTTCAGGTAAAAGTTCAGAAAGAAGGGCATTCATCAGCAGTGCAATACAGCCTATTAGAAAAGGCCACATTTCTGTAGATGATGTAGGGTGTGGAGAGAGAGAGAGAAACCTAATTAGAAATTTAATTAATTAAATGAATATGGTAAATGCCTGAATATAAAGTGAATAAAAATAAATCAGAGGTTTCTTCAGACACAGAAGACATTAATCAGCATTACAGGAGCTGATTAGACAACAAAGCATCCTACATGTCAGACAAACTAACCTTTTTAGTAGAGGAGTATGACACTGGAGGCTCCCGGCAGCTACTATGGCCTATAGAAATCCCTGCTTGTTGTGATTCTTCTGACCTGGAGTGGGCAACTATGATGGGTCTGGAGGACAAGGCTCATACAGATTGCTAAAACTATAAGAAACAAGAAAACCTGAAAGTGGCTAGAAGTATGTTTCTGTTTTGTTTTGTTTTTTTTGGGGGGGAGGGTTAGTAATCTAGTTTTGTTGGTTTTATTTTAAACAGTGAAGCCTGTTTAAAAGGTGGCTCTGCATTCTGTTTAAAAGGTACGTTGCCACTGCTGAAAGTTTCCCAGTGGTCCACTTTGCTCAGCCCTCTTACCTATGATGCTTTCTTCTCAATGGAATTGACAGTGCAATCTTGTGTGTGTCACTTCTAATAATAATAATAATAATAA